TGACTTTTACGTCAACTTTATCTCATTTTCTGTCATATAGCGTGACTTATGGTCGTTTTTGTGTTCGCTAACATTGTTTAGCCGTGGCGGCCATCTTGATTTGGGTTGATGTCAACGTTGTCTTCCGTCAACGCTGCTTTTGTCGTTTCCAGTTGGACATTTTGTCTGTTAGTTCAGTAAGGTCGTTCAGTGACGGCGGCGCTGCTTCTTGTTACAAGTGAGAAGTGGGCGGAGATGTGGGCGGAGACACAAGTGGATGAGCAGACCAAATCTAACTTTTTGCGCACAGTTTTTTTAACCAACAATGCAAAACCCTTTATCTCGACCATTGACGGGCTGCAGCTTTGTCTTTAAGCCATATTAGCTGTTTTAAGCCCCGCCCACTTGTCCCGCACACCATCATGCTGTCCCACAAGCGTCTTTAAAGCATAAAATAACCAATTAACAAGGATCAAAACCCTGTTGTTGACATGGAAGGGGCGGGGCTTAAAGCAGCTGACAGGAAAGCTGGTCCTTTTTCTGCTTCAACTTCTGAGTTCTGGTCCGATATCTACTTATTGCTTAGTCTAAAGTAGAGACTTCCTCTTGCTTTAAGCTACAAAAATAACACAACAACATGCTTTTCTTTGACTGGTTGAAGTATTTTTGTTGGATTCTTAAAAAAAGAGGTAAAAATAAGATAAAGAGGAAGAAGAGCAGAGACAAGAGACAGAAAGTTAAAAAAGTGTCAGCAGAGAAACGCAGCAGAAGGAAGGAAATCTGAGGTGCAGGCGTATTTTTTAAATCAGTTTTAATGAGGAATCTTCTGGAGTTTGATCTGCTGTAAATTACATAAAAAATGTCACAGAAGCAGAAACAGGAGCTTAAAAAGGCTTTCAGAGCGACAATTAAAAAGTCAAACATAATCCCACAAACTGGGTTTAATGGGATTACTGGACCAAAGAAATAAAAAACATGTTTTTCTCTGACGTTCTGTTTTACATTTCCTCTACTTCACAAAGTTGCACATTTTTGGGATATTGAATAATAATTACAGATAAAATGATCAGTGTGGATCATCAGAAAACAAACTTTAACGAGTCGAGTCGGCTCCGATGAGCTCGAAGTGTGACTAAAAACACGAAAACGAACTTAAAACGTTTTCCTTTCTGCAAATCAAACAGGAAGAGTGGAAGTCCTCAAACACATCATTTGGCCAAACGTAGGGGTTTAAATTCATTTTATTTACAACTTGTACTCTTGTTTTTCTCAGAGACTCGATGTAAAAAATGCGAGAAAAATGAAAAATCTTCCTCTTGAAACCAAACTGTTGTATTTTCTGTGGGATTTTGGAGCATTTGACCTTGTTTCATATGGTTTCACATCTAAAAACTATTTAAATCCATGTTTAAATTATCTTCATTACGTCTTTTCATCATGTACAACAGGGCTGCAACAATCCTTGTATCTGTGTGCAACAATACAGGTTTAACATTTTTTTAAGTCAGCTTGTCTCCTGAAGATGCTCTGTGTTGAAGGATCAGTGGATCTGTGTTCGACTACTCCACCTAGGCTGCAGAGTTCAACACAGATCCACTGAGAAACTTGCTGTTTCAGCAACTTTTCATTTAAAAACTGGACTTTTGAGGTTAAACAAATGTTCAGAATTCATTTAAATAAATTACAAATTAAGAAGGGCACGGACATTTATCTTTTTTGTATTGAAAAACTATCAAACCGTGAGACTAAAGTATCGAACTGAATCATGAATTCTTTGTATTGTTGCAGCCCCAGTGTACGACTGACTACATGTAAAATAAATAAAATAGAAAAAAACGAAATACTATTAAAAGTGTTTTACTTACTGTTTTGTTGTGACGAGTAGCTGCCGTCTCAAATTCAACAAGGAATTCCCACTAGAAATATGTTACAGTTTAAATTTACAACTCGTAAGTGGGAAATCCCCACTTCAAAAGAATAAGCTGCAGGCTACTTTCAAACCCTGAGCAGCGCCACCTGGTGGTGAGACGCTGTCATTTGTTGGGTAAAATAATCAACATACTTTATGGGAGATGTAGTTTATGGTCAACGCAGCTCATTTTATGGCATTAATACATCTTTAAAGCTCTTGTGGGCCACATAAAGTGCAGCAGTGGGCCACATTTGGCCTGCGGGCCTTGAGTTTGATACGTGTTTTAAGCTGTTAGTGAGGTTCAATTTTCCTTTGCAATATTTTGTTTAAAAATGTTGTAAATCAGGATGAATTTTTTTTTTACCTTTTAAACTTGAACCAGACGTTAAACTGAACCAAACTGCATCGATGTTTTGATTTCAAATTAAAAGTCTGAATGAAAGAAGCTCAAGCAGAGACGTTTCCTGGTCGGGTTCGTAGGTGGGACAGACGGGTCTGCAGAGACTCACATGATTCATTTATCTTTCATCTCCATCGGCAAGACCCCCCACCCCCACACAC